CCTAATGCAAAGAGAGGACTCCTTGGAAAAGACCCTGACGCTGGGAAAGATTGAAGACAAAAGGAGAAGAGGACAGCAGAGAATGAGATGGTTACTAAGCAATGAGCATGAAACTGAGCCAGCTCAGGGAGGCAGTGAAGGACAGGAAGGCCTGGCGCGATGTGGTTCATGGGGAGCACGAAGAGTCGGAAATGACTTAACGACTGAACAACAAAAAATCCCTGTTTAGGTAGCAGCAATCCACAAAAAGTGACCTTTTTGGTACTAGATACATATATTTATAATATTAACCTAGCAGGTTATCTATATAGAATTTTGGGGAGTTCTTTGATTATGTGTTTTTCTTCTTTTACTTTGGTTAACTAGTTTGGGGTCTTCTTTGGCACAGATTGCTATTCCTTTGGTTTACATTATATGCTATATTACATTTTAGATTATGGAATCAAATAAAAAAGCAACACTGCTGGCCAAACTGTACTTACCTCTTCCTAATAATTGCATATTGAAAAGCAAGGATGTTTTGGATGAGTTAGAGTTTAGCTGTGAACAGCAAGTTAAACCTTCAGATGGAGCAGTGGGGAGCAGTAAGTTAACCATATTTCTTCAAATTACATAGACAGCTGCTGTTCTCTACAGCTGCTTTATGTGGATTGGTGTAAATCCACTCTGTTTCACTGCATGTTTTGCAAGGCAGATTTTCAGTTTCACTGTTTTTATTTTCTCTGGATTTTAAATGCAATACAATACAAAATGAAGCAAAGAAGTATTTGGTGTTACATTTAGAAGCAGAGAGGAATTAGGTGTCATTTTGAAAACCATGTCTCTGAATTTTGCCTTTTGTTCGTTTTATCAGTAAAAATAACTTGTTCATTTACAGCAGCTCTGGGCTTCCTACCGAGATTGCTGGTGCTTTGCACTTTTTCCTAGAATGGCCGTGTCATGCCATGCAGAGTTGTAAAGAGGAAGCAGCTTCCATGAAAGGCTGGCACTTCTGTAAATATACTAAGGCTGAAAACTCTCACAATATCTTTGGGTCCAGATTGTTTTTTAAAAAAGTCCTTGCAACCCCTTTCCAAATGTAACATTTTTTTCTAAATTATTTAAAACTTTTCAAAGTCCTCCTTTTGGAATGATTTGGTTTTTTATTCCCATTATTTTCAGTAATATATATCTCAAATGCTCATGTGTGCCAGGAAGAAACCTTAGTAAGTTAGTGGTCCTGATGTTTCCATTGCTAGCTGAAGTACAATTCAAACATGCTGTGGGAACAGACTATAAGGAAATGATTGGTGGGATGAAGGGTTTTTGCTTATCTGAACCTTCTTTTATTTAAAAACAGGCTTTCATATACCTATTTTTATTGGTCAGATCTATTTTATTGTGACCAATTTGGCCCTAACATTAAGCTCCAAAAGTTTGTCATTAGAAAGTGAGTAGAGTGTTAATCCCAGAAGTTAAGCATCTAAACGTTACGTATACCAATGAATATGCTGTGGCATTTAATAGTCTGGTGTTACAAAAATGTTTGTTTTGGTTATGTTTATATTATAGATGTAACTTTTTTTCTTGGTGAAAATGAAACAGAAGAATTATGTATTTTGACATCAGGAAAATTAATGTATTCTTTATCTTGGGCAGTTAATGACAAAGGAATTCCTTTGGCACCTACTTTTCAACATGCACACATTTCCTCCAACAGGTAGTAATAGTTATATATTAATTTTGCTGTTAGTTATTTGCTTGACCGATTTTCAAGTTTTTATTTTTATTCTTAATTTGCTTTTGCAAAAATTTATCTATTCAATCTAAATTTTCTTATTTTTCTGCAATATATGAACTGCCATACCATGTATCTCTTTTTTTTGTCTTGCAAGGAATCTATGAATTCTAATTCATGGTAGAGCCAGATAATTCATACTAGAAACCAGGCTGACAGAATGAGGCTAATCTAATTGCATATATCTACATTACTTCTGCACTTCAGTTTGAAGCAGTTATAAACTGCAGGCTTTGGGATAGCAAGATCATGGCTAGCTATTTCTACAAGTTCCCTACCCCCCACTCCAAAAGTATTTTATTATTATTTATTTGTTATTATTATTTATTTTCTGGAATTCTGGAAAACTCATAGAGTTTCTCATGACTTAAACCAGTTAAGTAGGGCATGGAGGGGGTGTGAAATGGATACAAGTACAGGTAGTCCTCACTCAGCGACCACAGTAGGGACTGGCAACTCTGTCGCTAAGCAGTGCAGTTGTTAAGTGTGACGTCACATGACCATGCTGACTTACAATGCAGTTCGGTTGCAGTCATTAAGTGAATCATTGCAGGTTGTTTAGCATGATGTCACATGACCATGACTTGTACTTTCCTGCTGGCTTCCCCATTGATTTTGCAAATGGTGATCATGTGACCGTGGGACACTGCGACTGATGTAAATGTGCATTGTTTGCCAAGTGGCTGAATCGTAATCAGATGACTGTGGGGACACTGTGATGGCTGCGACTTCAAGGACCAGTTGTAAGTCTCTACTTTCAGTGCTTTTGTAAGTTTGAACTGTCACTGAATGAGTGGTTGATAAGCAAAGACTACCTGTAATACACTTGAAGATTTGCTTAGAAAGTGGGAAAATGTTGGCATTAGGTTTTGGTATAGCATAGATCCTGGACACAGGTGACATGTATTGCCAATCTTCTTGCTGACGGCATAACCTGTCTCCAGCTAACTGGCTAGGAATGGATGGCCAGTTGTAAGCATGCCATATGTTAATTTGTTTTATGCTTGATAGCCACCATTGGAGGGACACTGGTCCTTGAGCCCTAAGCTGGACCTGACATGAAATTTCCCTGCTTTGGGCCTATACTAGATGCCCTCATCACAACTCCTTGCTACCTACCTAACCTCAAAATGGGTACAGACCAATACTTCAAATGCCATGTAAGCGTTCAGCTTATTGTCATAGCTATTACTGCTACAAATACAAAGTTTTCCTAAAACCATCCATAAATATAGATCTTGCCCAAAGCTAAGAAGTACGCAGTTATTCCCAGAAATGACTACTTTCTTAAATATTTTTGGGTGCAGCACAGTCTTGCTCCCACTAGCCAACATTTCAGGCTTATAACCCCGTTGACTTATTTTCAGGGTCTTTTCCACACTCTTATGATTTAGGGCCCCTTTCTAAATCCTCTGACCATATGATTTAAAGTCCTGGAATATATCTTGCAGCTCACATGCAGTGACTATTTTAAAGTGCTAAAAGAAATCCATAATCTTTGACAGAGGCCCCTCTTTTCCAATTATGGTCTTATAATGAGACTGTTCTTTAATATTAATTTTTTTTTTTTAGGGTACCAAGGAATATGAGTTCAGGAAAAGGAACTGGAATTTGGTGGCATTCTGATATCCAGAAACTTATTGACTGGGCAAAAGACATCAATATTGACCCGAATGACCCTTACTACTCAGATTTGTTTGAGTTAATTATGGTAATGATGAAGTTTTTGTAATGAAGTTTCATTTCTTTGAAGAAAAACAGTGTAATAAAAATTAAGGAATAGTATCTTCTTTATTCTAAATAATAATTTAAGGACCGAGAAACACTGACTAAGAAACTAAATCAGGACTTTGTAATAATTGTTGATAACTAGAAAGTTTCCGTTGTTCCTTATTAACTCTTAATGATCCTATAGCTTATGTATTAATTGTATAAGAACCAAGTTTACAGCTGTTTCTAATCCTTTTATCCAACTTGTTTCATTGTAGCTTTGATTCCTCCTTAACAAATAGGAGAGTACAAGTAGGGTTATACATATTTGGCAAAACAAAACCTTACAGTATAAGCAGATATAGAAGGAGAGCTTTTTCTTCTCTTATAATATAGGATATTTTCATTACCAAATGAAATTGATTGGCAATAGACACAGGACTGGTGAGAAAGCGTTTGTTCACATAATGTGACTTATGGAACTGACTGCCAAAATACATTGTCGTGATTAATCCATAGCTTAGGTGTCTATAAAATAAATTAAATTGGAGGATAAATACATATTTGAAATATAGATTTTTATTGACTATGATAATTACATGGTTCTCCAGGCAGAAACAGTATACTTCTGAAATATGTAGCAGATGTTTGAAACAAACAGTGTGAGTGTCTTGCTTTGAATTCCTAGATGCATCTGGTTGATTACTTCTAGAAACTGACTTTTGTTTGCCAACAGAAGTTTTCATAGTATTTCAGCAACAGTTCTACTGTTTTAATACATACTAGACAAACCGTTGGGTCATCCTTTCAGAGAAGGGTAGTGCAGTCTGATGTGATCAGAATTAACATTAAATTTTAGGCTGACCATATTTTTTTTACCCAATGCTGGACAGTCCAGTGATCATCTAAGAAGAGTATATATCATAAATAGAAAAATGTCGTGGTAAGCAAACTTCAGTAACGAGTCAACATTTACTTACCTAAGCAGATAAACAGAATGACCATGGGTGGGCGAAAAAGCAGTGGGAGCGGGAGTAACTTCCGACTTCCTGCCAGCTTCCCCATTGACTTAACTTGTGGGAAGCTGGCAGGGAGCATCAGAAATCACAATCTCATGACTGTGGGCATACTGCAACGGCCACAACTTTGTGGAAAAAACGTGATCTGAACATCATGGAAATTTCAATTCCATAGGAGTAATGGATCCTAGATTTTTTATGCATTCTTTAAGTTAGTGGATTTTAGGTACCTTGATTCAAAAATTGTTGCG